CCCCTGGGCCCCCGGGGGCGGGGGGCGGGTTAACGGTCACACCTGGGCCCTGAGGGAAGGGTCGCCCCTGAGGGAGGGGGGTCTAATGGTCGCCGGGTCTGATGGGTCTAATCATAGAATCACAGAATGCCCAAGGTTGGAAGGGACCTCTAGAGAACATCTAGTCCAACCCCTGCACACGCAGGGTCACCTAGAGCACGTGGCACAGGGCTGCGTCCAAGTGGGTTTGAAGATCTCCAGAGAAGGAGACTCCACAACCTCTCTGGGCAGCCTGTTCCAGGGCTCTGGCACCCTCACTGTGAAGGAATTTCTCCTTAAGTCATCGTCTAATGGTGGCCGCGCTGCCCGCGGGCAGGGAGCGCCATGGTCAGCCCGGTGCCCGCGGGACAGGGCTCCTGCGCGAGGGCCGACACGCTGCTCGCGGGTCCTCCCCGCTCCTCCCCGCCGCCTTCCCCTCTCTCCTCAGTGGAGATCGCCACCAAGGCCAACCCCTGGTTTGGCAACACGCTGAAGGCCGACAGCCTCCGCTCGCAGCTGGACGCGTCTCTGGAGCGGCTGGGGGGGAAGACGCAGCTCTTCTACCTCCACGCGCCCGACCACGGCACCCCGGTGGAGGAGACGCTGCGGGCCTGCAATGAGCTGCACAAAGAAGTGAGAAACGGGGAGAGCGAGCCCGGGCCACCTCTTAATTCCTTCCTACCCCCTTTTTAAAGCAGGGCTGCCCATCAGCCCCGGGTTCACAAAAAAAATAAAATTAAATTAAGAAATCCACAAAGGAATAGAAGGGAAAAGTGCATGCAGCCCAATGCGGAAGGGCAGAACAACTCTTTTGCTTGCTCATGTGCTGCACTTTGTTCTCAAGGGCTCTTGCAAGCGTTAGAACATTTGAACTTTGCTTTCTATGATATAAATTCACTTGGTTAAAGCAATGTTGGTAATGGCAGAAGGAGAGCTCTTTTTCTTCGTCAGTGTCTTTTAGACCAGACAAATCCCATTCAAATTAGAAGGTGTAAATTAACATTTGCACTGTGTGTGTACAAGCATGCTCATTAGGAATGCATTTAAATACTCTTTTGTTCCTTCACAGGGGAAGTTCAAAGAGCTCGGTCTATCCAACTACGCGGCCTGGGAGGTAGCAGAAATCTGTACCCTCTGCAAACACAACAACTGGGTGATCCCAACCGTGTACCAGGTGAGGGACATGGCCACGGTCCGGCTTATTTTCCACGGAGGATGAGACAAGTCAGCCCGAAGGTTGTTTCAGGTCAAAGCAGCTGGTAGCAGGTTGTGTGTGTTGTTACTGGAGCATCCGGACAGTTCCCCGTGCGGAGGGTCTGGGAGCCCCTCGGCTTGGAGCAGACCCCGACGCACCTGGTATCAGCACAGAGCAGGAAGCTGCGTCAGTCTGGGAAGACCTTTCAGGACACACATGTTTAGAAAGTGGAGTGAGGTCGTTTCTCAGATAAAGCTGAGTGTGTGGTTGGTGTCTGTGTCAGTAACTCCCTTGATGTGGAACTTTAAATGATTGCTCAATAGCAAAAACTTGGAGAATCTGTTGCTAAGCAGATTTATAACCTTCTGTGACCTGAACCTCTCTGTTCTGATCCCTTCTGGATAAGATGGAAAACTGTTAGGTGAGGGTTTGGTGCAGCAGTGATGAAGTTGTGGTTCATGGACTGGGACACTCGTGCACAGCTCAGTGGGAGCTAGTCTGCAGGTATTCACAATTCTGACAAGTGGCTGCTACAGATCTGCTGCTTTTTCAGAAACTCGTGAGAAGGTTAAACAGATTTGCATTTTCCCACACTGTTTATTTGGCCGTGTTTACAACGCCAGATTTTAATTCTGAGCAGAAATTAAGGTGAGAGGAAAAGCAGCACAAAGCCCAGCGAACACCCTGCTGTCAGCATTAACTCTGCTGCTGCTGATGTGCCCAGCCTGGCCTTGCTGTTGCTGCTATATTGTACCCAGGCACCATCCCATAAGCGGACACAAGTCATGACTTACGAGCCAGGATTTGTGCCAGGAGGCCTGAAGTTATTCTGTGCAAGTCACCGCTGTTGTGAGGGAGTGTTTGAAGTCCTCTGTGTCCTTGCTGTTTGTGGCAGGGCATGTACAACGCCACCACTCGCCAGGTGGAGACGGAGCTGTTTCCTTGCCTGAGACACTTCGGCCTGCGGTTCTACGCCTACAACCCGCTGGCCGGTACGGGGGCGAGGAGCTGCGCGTGGCCTGGGGGTGGCAGGGCCACAGAGAAACGCCACCAAGACGGGCTCCAGTCCACGCGGTGGAACAGCCACGTTTGGTCCGTTGCTCCCTTGGCCTGCGGGCCGGCGTGCTGGATGGAGCTGGCACGTGGAGCTGAGGGGTTTGTGGGGAGCGGGACTGAAATTCCTGAAAAGCAGGAAAGCGGCTCTAAAAGAGCCAGCCCAGCGCTGACGTGTGGCTGACCCTTTGCAGGAGGACTGCTGACGGGCAAGTACAAGTACGAGGACAAAGATACAAGCCAGCCTACTGGAAGGTTTTTTGGGAATGACTGGGCTGAGATCTACAGGGACAGGTATGACTTTGGCTAAGGGAAGAGCAGCGAGATGGAGCAGGGATGGCTACTACAAAACTCGATAATGGGCTGGGAAGCAGCAGCATTGGCCAAAGTTTCTCCAGGGATCATGGGCGCAGGCTTTGCATCCAGGGCGCTGCGGGGCAGCCTTTATGCTGCCTCTGCTTGAGGTTTGTGTAACAGACTGGGGACTGAGCATCTTCCTTCTGAGGGTGTTGAGGGCAACAGCTTGCTGGAGCTTTGTGGAGTGGCTTTTTGGCTTGGCTTCCTCCCAGCTTACTGTCCTTCAGACTTTCCGAAAGCCTTTCGTACTTGGAAAGGATAGAATATAGATGTACGATCCATTTGAGGAAAATTGAGGTCTCGGAGTCAGTAACCTTCATTTCTCTTGTTGAAGATACTGGAAAAAGCACCATTTTGAAGCAATTGCCGTCGTAGAAAAGGCTGTGAAGGATGCTTATGGCTCCAGTCCCCCCAGCCTGACGGCCGCCGCTCTACGTTGGATGTACAACCACTCCGAACTTCAGGTAGGAGCTGATGCTGCCCCACAGGCAGGAAACGTTTCAGGAGTGGCCTGTGCTGGCACAGGAGGCGACTCCGGGTTTCTTTCGTGTTGAGCGATTCCCCTCACCCCTCGGCAGGGCTCCCTCGGAGACACGGTGATCATCGGCATGTCCAACCTGGAGCAGCTGGAGCAGAACCTGGCCGGCTGCGAGGAGGGTCCCCTGCACCCGGCCGTGGTGGAGGCGTTCGACAGGGCCTGGAGCCTCACGGCGCACGACTGCCCCAGCTACTTCCGCTAGGAACCGGGCACGGAGGAGCCCGCTGGTGCCGGGGGTTATCCCGCACCTCCCGGGCACGTCCCACGTGTCCTGGAGGGGAGATGTCCCGATCTCCCCTGCTCTCTGCTCCAATCCAATAGGTTGTGATTTTCCCCTGTGAATGAAGCCCATGGGATCAGCCATTCCCACACCCGCGCTAGCGCCCGCCTCGCCTGTGCTGGCCGTGCCTTAAGTGTGTCCCCTCATGGCCCTTCCCCTCCACATGTCACCATTTACAGACACTACTGCTAGCAGGAAGAGACCACGGAGCTGGGGACGGCCGTGGTTCTCCAACCCTCCTCCCAGTTCTTACGGTACCTTCGATTTTCAATAATTACAAATACAAATAAATTTCTAACGCAGACTTTCTCTCCGAGTTGTAGCCTGGCCTATGGTTTTATGTTGACACAGCTCAATCCAACTGTAGTGGTTTGGAGCCAATGCTACTCAAGCAGTAACAAGCAGCAGCAACAGTTGTAAGTTTTGTATATAGCTTTATATAAAAAACATAATTAGATAATCTTTTATGGAAAGCACGTTTGAGTTGCCTGCCTTGCCTGCCTGCTGCAGGCAGAGAAGGAAAACACCTTTCTGTCTCTGAAATCCTTAAAACTGTCCCGTATCCAAAGACAAGGGCTGCCATTAGTCCTCGTTGCTGCTGTTCTCCTCCTCTTCCTCCTCTGCTGCCACCTCCGGCTCTCCTTCCAGCTGCTCAAAGTCTCCTGTCTCAGAGTTCCACAGGAATTTGATGGTCACTTTGAACTCTGCCATCTCGTAGCCGAAGAGTTTCTAGGAAAGGAAACACAGATCCATCATTCTTGCTCGGCCATCTCCGCAGCAAGAGATGCGGAGCTCCCCCAGGAGCAAGCAGGAAAGTAGGTGTTAGATGTAAAACTAAAGGAACTCTGACTGTGGACGCCTGGGGCTAGGACTTGGCTACAAATTCCGGTCTGTTCCCCTTTGATTCCCTTCTGCTTCACCCCGTGGGCTCCCTGTACAGGTTCTACCTGAGGCAGCTTCAGGAAACGGGGTGCAGAACGCCCCTTTATCTGAGTGGTAACAGCATGGGGCCGCTCATTACCCTCTGTGTTACCCTTGAGGAGGCACCGAGGCAGGCAGCACTCACCAGGACACGAGCTTGCTCGGGCGTCAGCACGTCCCCTTCTCTGCAGACCTCGTAATCGGAGAGCAGCGTCACGACGCCTGCGGAGCGAGAGGACAGGGAAGCCCCGAGGGAGGCGCTTGGGCCGCTGGGTCGGAGCTCCCGGCCAGTCCCGCTTCCCCGTCCCACCGGCGCTCAAGGACAGGCCTCAAGCCCCATCCTTCACTTCTCCCTCGACATTTAACCTGCTTAAAAGCAGCTGCGCAGACCTCAGGTGGTAGAAACTTTTGGCAAGTCGCAGCACAAGCTCCT